TGCCACTTGCTGAAAGTGAAATTATATTGATACGCTTGAAAGCTGATAAAGAAAATTGTGGAAATTAAAAAAAAAAAAAAATATTAAATATTAAAACATCGAGTACAAATGTGAACATGTTGGACCCTTACTTCTTTTGCTAGCGTTGATCAACTGATGTGACTCAATTCGATTTCTGTCACCAACAAAAATTTCTTATTTATTTTTAAGCTTAACTTTTTGTTAAAATAAAATATAAATTAAATGGCAAAAATTATGGATTGACATAAAAATCTAAAATAATTCTCCAAGAAAATAAAAAACATGTTCATTTTTCGTAGAAATGGTACAAAAAAATATAAAACTGTTGATATAACTGTTGACATCAGTTAAATAAAATTAAGGATAACAGTCTGAAGAAAACTTTAAAATAAAAAATAATTTATAAAAAAATGTTCATTATTTTTCGTTTCAACTTTTTCCTCTTTTTTCCTTTTGATTCCTCAACTTCTTTTAAATGTCAAAAATTCCTTCATTAGTTTTGTTTTTTAAGTTCTTTCTCTTCTTGGCCACCACTAGAAAATGTTTCCAAGGCAATTGATTTGTATGTTTTTCATCTAAAAATTTTCCATTTTTTCGGCTTCTATGGTGATTTAGTCCGAAAAATACTACATATAAATAACATTATGACGAGGACCCAAGTGGTTTATGTTTAAAAATAAAAGATTAAGATTTAAGGGTGGGAGCTTTAAGGGAGATACTAGAAAATCTTTGTTTTAAGAGTATAGACTGGCCTACGGTGTGGCCCTTCATCTGGAATATAGCCTGAGCTATAGTCTGAAATGTACTCAGATAAATAGTCTGGACTATTACCTAGACTATAGCCTGGTCTATAGTCTGGTCTATTGTCTAGTCTATAGTCTAGTCTATTGTCTAGTCTATAGTCTAGTCTATAGTCTAGTCTATAGTATAGTCTATAGTCTAGTTTAGCCTAGTCTAGTCTATAGTCTAGTCTATAGTCTAGTCTATAGTCTAGTCTATAGTCTAGTCTATAGTCTAGTCTATAGTCTAGTCTATAGTCTAGTCTATAGTCTAGTCTATAGTCTAGTCTATAGTCTAGTCTATAGTCTAGTCTATAGTCTAGTCTATAGTCTAGTCTATAGTCTAGTCTATAGTCTAGTCTATGGTCTAGTCTATAGTCTAGTCTATATCTAGTCTATAGTCTAGTCTATAGTCTAGTCTATAGTCTAGTCTATAGTCTAGTCTATAGTCTAGTCTATAGTCTAGTCTATAGTCTAGTCTATAGTCTAGTCTATAGTCTAGTCTATAGTCTAGTCTATAGTCTAGTCTATAGTCTAGTCTATAGTCTAGTCTATAGTCTAGTCTATAGTCTAGTCTATAGTCTAGTCTATAGTCTAGTCTATAGTCTAGTCTATAGTCTAGTCTATAGTCTAGTCTATAGTCTAGTCTATAGTCTAGTCTATAGTCTAGTCTATAGTCTAGTCTATAGTCTAGTCTATAGTCTAGTCTATAGTCTAGTCTATAGTCTAGTCTATAGTCTAGTCTATAGTCTAGTCTATAGTCTAGTCTATAGTCTAGTCTATAGTCTAGTCTATAGTCTAGTCTATAGTCTAGTCTATAGTCTAGTCTATAGTCTAGTCTATAGTCTAGTCTATAATCTAGTCTATAGTCTAGTCTAGTCTATAGTCTAGTCTATAGTCTAGTCTATAGTCTAGTCTATAGTCTAGTCTATAGTCTAGTCTATAGTCTAGTCTATAGTCTAGTCTATAGTCTAGTCTATAGTCTAGTCTATAGTCTAGTCTATAGTCTAGTCTATAGTCTAGTCTATAGTCTAGTCTATAGTCTAGTCTATAGTCTAGTCTATAGTCTAGTCTATAGTCTAGTCTATAGTCTAGTCTATAGTCTAGTCTATAGTCTAGTCTATAGTCTAGTCTATAGTCTAGTCTATAGTCTAGTCTATAGTCTAGTCTATAGTCTAGTCTATATTCTAGTTATAGTCTAGTCTCTAGTCTAGTCTATAGTCTAGTCTATAGTCTAGTCTATAGTCTAGTCTATAGTCTAGTCTATAGTCTAGTCTATAGTCTAGTCTATAGTCTAGTCTATAGTCTAGTCTATAGTCTAGTCTATAGTCTAGTCTATAGTCTAGTCTATAGTCTAGTCTATAGTCTAGTCTATAGTTTAGTCTATAGTCTAGTCTATAGTCTAGTCTATAGTCTAGTCTATAGTCTATAGTCTAGTCTATAGTCTAGTCTATAGTCTAGTCTATAATCTAGTCTATAGTCTAGTCTAGTCTATAGTCTAGTCTATAGTCTAGTCTAGTCTATAGTCTAGTCTATAGTCTAGTCTATAGTCTAGTCTATAGTCTAGTCTATAGTCTAGTCTATAGTCTAGTCTATAGTCTAGTCTATAGTCTAGTCTATAGTCTAGTCTATAGTCTAGTCTATAGTCTAGTCTATAGTCTAGTCTATAGTCTAGTCTATAGTCTAGTCTATAGTATAGTCTATAGTCTAGTCTATAGTCTAGTCTATAGTCTAGTCTATAGTCTAGTCTATAGTCTAGTCTATAGTCTAGTCTATAGTCTAGTCTATAGTCTAGTCTATAGTCTAGTCTATAGTCTAGTCTATAGTCTAGTCTATAGTCTAGTCTATAGTCTAGTCTATAGTCTAGTCTATAGTCTAGTCTATAGTCTAGTCTATAGTCTAGTCTATAGTCTAGTCTATAGTCTAGTCTATAGTCTAGTCTATAGTCTAGTCTATAGTCTAGTCTATAGTCTAGTCTATAGTCTAGTCTATAGTCTAGTCTATAGTCTAGTCTATAGTCTAGTCTATAGTCTAGTCTATAGTCTAGTCTATAGTCTAGTCTATAGTCTAGTCTATAGTCTAGTCTATAGTCTAGTCTATAGTCTAGTCTATAGTCTAGTCTATAGTCTAGTCTATAGTCTAGTCTATAGTCTAGTCTATAGTCTAGTCTATAGTCTAGTCTATAGTCTAGTCTATAGTCTAGTCTATAGTCTAGTCTATAGTCTAGTCTATAGTCTAGTCTATATTCTAGTTTATAGTCTAGTCTATAGTCTAGTCTATAGTCTAGTCTATAGTCTAGTCTATAGTCTAGTCTATAGTCTAGTCTATAGTCTAGTCTATAGACTAGACTATAAACTAGAATATAGACTAGACTATAGACTAGTCTATAGTTTAGTCTATAGTCTAGTCTATAGTCTAGTCTATAGTCTAGTCTATAGTCTAGTCTATAGTCGAGTCTATAGTCTAGTCTATAATCTAGTCTATAGTCTAGTCTAGTCTAGTCTAGTCTATAGTCTAGTCTATAGTCTAGTCTATAGTCTAGTCTATAGTCTAGTCTATAGTCTAGTCTATAGTCTAGTCTATAGTCTAGTCTATAGTCTAGTCTATAGTCTAGTCTATAGTCTAGTCTATAGTCTAGTCTATAGTCTAGTCTATAGTCTAGTCTATAGTCTAGTCTATAGTCTAGTCTATAGTCTAGTCTATAGTCTAGTCTATAGTCTAGTCTATAGTCTAGTCTATAGTCTAGTCTATAGTCTAGTCTATAGTCTAGTCTAGTCTAGTCTATAGTCTAGTCTATAGTCTAGTCTATAGTCTAGTCTATAGTCTAGTCTATAGTCTAGTCTATAGTCTAGTCTAGTCTATAGTCTAGTCTATAGTCTAGTCTATAGTCTAGTCTATAGTCTAGTCTATAGTCTAGTCTATAGTCTAGTCTATAGTCTAGTCTATAGTCTAGTCTATAGTCTAGTCTATAGTCTAGTCTATATTCTAGTCTATGGTCTGGTTGTAATTTGGTCTTTAGTCTAGTCTATAGTTGGTCTATAGCCCGCTCTATAGCCTGGTCTGTGTCTCTTTTATAGTCTGGCTTCATAATCTCCTCCGTGACTCTTCTTTTTATCAAATTTAAATTATTGTTGTTCTTTTTTTTTCTTATTTATTCTTTAACTTTGATGATTTAGAGTTTGTTAAAAAATAAATTATGCAAATTTAATTGTATTTAAATACCAAGGTATATTCATCATCAGCATCCTTTGACCTTTTCGTGATGCTGGGAAACCTATTTGAAAGGTTGTGTATTTTGCATTTGCTTACGGTGGTGTTTTTGTCTTTATCTTCTTTTGAAGAGTTAATCTTTTGGGCAAAAGGTTTAAGACAATTTGCTGTGAGGGGATAGCGAGGATGTGAACAAAATTCTAATTTAGAATTTTGTGTTGACATGATTTTTTAAGATAAATTAATACTTGAACTTTAGCTGGCCAGCATGACTAGTCTTTTCATTGACTAGCTCATACTGCTGTGGCACGTCCACACACCTTTTCTTGAGCAATTGTGTTTTTTAAGGAAATTTGTTAATAAACTTATAAAACTGTTAGGGGTTTTTAAAATGTTAGGTTTTTTTTTTTTGTTGCTGACGTTTATTTTTAAGGTATTTGCTTTCTTTGAAAATTGCGGTAAATTCTGAGAATTTCTGTTTGTGTCCAAATTAAAACGTTTGGGAAAAGGAAACTGCAAAAGTTTGAAAATAAAAATGTTTTCATTTTGCAACAATTTAAAGCAGAAGACAAAAAAATATGTTGCAGAAATGTATGAGCATAGAAACTTCATTATTTGAAGCTCATAATGAAGTTTTAACCATTTTGTTGCCAAAAACTTTTTATGCACATTATAAGCAATTATTTATAGGTTAAGTTAGTTTTAAGTTTATTTTTCTAAATTTGCATGCCGTAGTAAATTTTGGATAAAATTTTTTTCTATAATTTTTCATCAATTCCATAAAACGTTTTTATGGTGTGTGCTTTGTTATAATTTTTATTTATTTTATTTTTTTGTTAAAAATTTATAAATATATACAAAAAACAATTCAATTCCCTCCCTCTTGCTTAAATCCAAAACAACAAATTTTTTATCTGTTATATTTTTTTCAACTTCTTTTTTTTCAGTGTGTCTAAATGTGTAGCAAAAATAAACTTTGTTCCCCCCCTCAATAAATAACAAAAAAAAAAAAAAATAACAAATTCCCCTCAAAAAAATACATAGTAGTTATTTTGATTAAAGCTCAATATGTTTAAGTGTTTGTATAAATGTGAAGATAATTAAGACAGCAACAACAGCAACAACAACAACCCTCTAAAATCCCCCAACAGCTACATTAGAGTATATACCCAACAACAGGTTTGTTTTTTTCCGGGGGAGAGCAGTTTTCTATGAAAAAAAAAAGCTTTTTTGTTTTTAACATCCAAACAATAACAAAAAAGCTTTTAAGGCTGACTGCCTTAAAAAGGGCAGTAATATAAAACAAAACTTACTACTGTTAATTTTTTACGTGCTGCCGTTATAAACAACAATTATGCGCCATGCCAAAACTGAGGCAATATATGTCCATGGATCAACCCTCCTCGACGGCGATAAGAAAAAAGTTATTAACATTTTTATATATACATACATATTTAACGTTATTTTTAAAATTTTTTGTAAAAGCTTGCTTGGTGTTATTTCTAACTTATAGTATTTTTTAAGGAAAAGCTTTTTTCTAAAGCTTTTCCCTGTAAATAAAGCATGTTGCCTGTGTTTGAAAGCTTTTAGTACTAACATTTTATAACATTTCATTTTACGTCTTTAACATTAATTCTCATACTATTTCATACCCCTTTCTAATAAAACTTTTTAAAAGCTTTTTTTCTTAATTTTATTTAGTTAACTTTTTTCTAGTTATTCCTCATCACTTGCTTCCTATTAATATCCTTTAACTAAATATCTATTTTATCCATTTCTTTTAATACTTTTCTATCACTTATATTCCCTTTTACACTACTTATTTATTTCTCTGTATTTGTTATCCAATTTCCTTACCTTAACGGTTTTTTTTCTTCAAAAGCTTTTCAAAGCTTCTACTAACATTAATCTGAAGAAGTGCATACTAAACAAAAGCTTTTTAACATTATATCCTTTTTGCTTAATATTTGTTTTTGCTCTTATTTGTGCTCTTTTTTATAACATTCCTTTTAGAAAGCTTTTTCTAAAGCTTTTCCTAACATATTTCCTTTTATATTAACACTAACTTTTTTACATAAATTCTTCTACTCAATTTTTAATTTACTTCTCTTTTTTAATCTCTTTCATAAGAACTTTTACCACTTTCATGTTCGACAATAGAAGCTTTTATAAGCTTTCCATCTTATTTCCTATATTGAATATGTAAAATGATTTCCTAGTTTCCAACCGTCCTTGTTTTTGCTGCAACAGGTTCTAGTCTCAGCACAAGCTTAGTCTAGACTATAGTCTGGGATATAGTCTTGTCTATAGTCTGGACTCTAGTCTTGTCGTTAGTCTGTACTCTCTTTTTTAATCTCTTTCATAAGAACTTTTACCACTTTCATGTTCGACAATAGAAGCTTTTATAAGCTTTCCATCTTATTTCCTATATTGAATATGTAAAATGATTTCCTAGTTTCCAACCGTCCTTGTTTTTGCTGCAACAGGTTCTAGTCTCAGCACAAGCTTAGTCTAGACTATAGTCTGGGATATAGTCTTGTCTATAGTCTGGACTATAGTCTTGTCTATTATCTGGACTATAGTCTAGATAATAGTCTGGACTATAGTCTAGATAATAGTCTGGACTATAGTCTAGATAATAGTCTGGACTATAGTCTGGACTATAGTCTGGACTATAGTCTTGTCTATAGTCTAGACTATAGTCTGGACTATAGTTAACACTATAGTCTGGATTCTAGAGTTTTTGATAGTCTTGCCTTTAGTCTGGACTATTGTTTTGTCTATAGTCTGGACTATTGTTTTGTCTATAGTCTGGACTATAGTCTTGTCTATAGTCTGGACTATAGTCTTGCCTATAGTCATGTCTATAGTCTTGTCTTTAGTCTTGTCCATAGTCTTGTCTATAGTCTGGACTATAGTCTTGTCTATAGTCTGGACTATGGTCTTGTCTATAGTCTGGACTATAATCTTGTCTATAGTCTGGACTATGGTGTTGTCGTAAGTCTGGACTATGGTGTTGTCTATAGTCTGGACAATAGTCTTGTCTATAGTCTAGACTCTTGTCATGTCTATAGTCTGGACTCTAATCTTGTCTATAGTCCAGGCTCTAGTCTGGTCTATAGTCTCCACTATAGTCTTGTCTATAGTCTGTACTATGATCTTGTCTATAGTCACGTTTATTGTCTTGTCTATATTCTAGGCTACAGTCATGTCTATTGTCAAGACTATAGTCTTGCCTAAAGTCTTGACTATAGCCTTGTTTAAAGTCTTGACAATAGTCTGGACTTTGGCCTTGTATTTAGCCTTGACTACAGTTTGGACTATAGTGTTGTCTGTATTCTAGGCTGCACTCGTATAAGTATAATCTTGTCTATAGTAGCGTATATAGTCTTGTCCATAGTATCGCCAATAGTCTGGACTATAGTCTAGACTAAAGGCTTGTCTATAGTCTGGACTATGGTCTCGTCTAGTTATAGTCTGAACTTATCTATAGTTTGGACTATAATCTTGTCTATAGTCTGGACTTGTCTATAATTTAGACGCTAGTCTTGTCTATAGTCTTTTCTATAGTCAGGACTATATTCTTGTCTATAGACTGTGTTTGAACTATAGTCTTGTCTATGAACTAGTCAATGAGCTTAGCTATAATCTTATCTGTCAGCTCTTCTTTAGTCTCGTTTAGAAACAAGTTTGAACTCGTCTTTGGACCTGTGTATAGTCTTGTATATATGTAGTATCTCAAATTTCATGTTATTTTACTCTTTAATAAAAGTTGCTTATTAAAACCTTAAAGTATGCTACAGTTTTTTGCAACTTATTTCTTCTACTTTATATCTGTATTTTATATGAGCAAGTGTTTTTAATTATTTTATCAAAAAAATTAAACTGTTATTATAAAACAACAATATAAAACAAATACTAAATATATATATTTTTTTGTGGCATGCCTCTTTTTTCTCTTTCTCTCGTTTTTTTCTCTCTCATTCTCTTTCCCAAAAATATATGTACACGAAATGAAAAAAAAAACACACACACATTTTTAGGACGATGACAGCAGTATGTTTCGTCTGCAACCTGCCCATAATGTCACATCAAGTGGGACTGGTGTGGTCGGGGGGCAATGGTTGGGATGATCTAGTAAGAGAACAGGTAATTTTTAAAAATGGAAAGATAAGAAGAATTTTTTATATGAAATTTTCGGAAATATTTTGTTTTAATGAATATTCAGCTGGAGGAGTCTACCATCAGACAAAGATTGGGCGGCAGAAGAGATTCGGCAGCACAAATCAATACACCTCCTAGTACATCGCCACCGCCGGGTAAGTTAGAATAAGGATTTTGAAAATAAGTTTTTTTTAATTTTGCTGGAAAAATCTGATTCACTAAAAAATCGATTCTTTAGGCATGCAACGTCGCCGCCGCAGTTCTTTGGCCCAACTAACCGATCTTCTGCGAGAATGGAGTGGTGGTGTAAAACATCAAACATCCCAATCCCAAAGAGCGACCAAGGCCCCTTTGAATAGGCGTGAAACTTTGGCTGATTTGGCGCGCAGTTTACCCTGGCGTACCTCTGTATCTGATGCTGCCACCAGTGCTGGTCCCACATATGTGGCACCACGCAAACGACGTGAATCAAGTGCTGATGCTGGTTTGCGTAGTACACGCACCCGAAGAGACTCCAATACTGCAGAGTTTGTGAAACATTGGAATCGTAGGGAGAGTACCGTAGATGAACCCACCATAGTGGCGGTCAATGTAGTAGTGGAGCCTTCTAAGGGGGTGAGTAGTACAGAATGAAGAGTATTTGTAGTAAATCCTTTATGTAAATACAATCCTTTTTATATATTGAAACATTTTTCTCTTTGTAAATATTTCCATTTTTATGTAAATATATAAATGTGTTCCCTCATCCATTGAAAAATCGAAAAGGGTTCAAGACGCGATTCGGGTGAAAGTAATCATTCCAGTCGTCGCGATAGCTCTATAGGTCGTATTATAACTCCCTCTACTACACCACCACCGCCTCCACGCATTGGCGTTAGTCCAGTGAAAAGAGATTCCCTGGCTGCTCCCGAATTTCCCAATTTCCGTTATGAACAACGCCCCTCCACCAGCTCGGCTGGTTCTGATTCTATGCCTCTTTACTCATGTTCTTCTCACAATCAGGTCGATTCATCTTGTCAGGCGCTGCCACCACCCACCATTATCATGAGTTCAGTAACACCACCAGCTACTAGTCCTACCGCTCCGAAGGGGAGGAGGGATTCTACTACTCAGTGTGGTAGAGTTAATCGTCGAGATTCCAAGGCCGGCATTAGTCCTGAAAGGGCCCCTAGGCTTCAACGTTTACAGAGACAGGCAACCGCTTTCGATGAAAGTTGTTTGCCGGGTGGCAGCAGAAGAGGTTCTCAACCGGCTCTTAGTCCTGATCCGCCAGAGGAGGGTCAAAGGCGCAATTCACGCCGTGATTCTTTAAGTCCTGATAGTGCTTCTAGGGGTGGTAGACGCGACTCGCGTACCCATTTATCCCCTGATCGTAGTCATGAGCGTGAGGGTAGTCCTCATCGTCGTCATGCTTTAAGAAGGCAAAGTTCTTCGGCAGCACGTAGTTCTAGGTCGCCCGATTCTACTAGTATTTGTTCGTCGCGAGATGCCAGTCCCTGTGGCAGGCCTCCCCCATTGCCGGTAGTAGAACAGGGCAGTAGTAGGCCCGCCATTAGAAGACAATCAACAACTGAGGAGATTTTAATAGCCCGAGGTTTTCGCAGACAATCCACCACCGAGGAAATGATCAGATGTCGCAACTTTCGACGCCAAAGTTCACAAAGTGATGATGTTTGTCGGTTAGTATGAATAAATCCATAAAATCCTTCAACCCCTCTTACAACTGTTTCAAATTATTTTCAGTTATCGTGGCCGCCGTGACTCTAGTGCCCAAATCATTGATGGCACCATCGGTACCATGACGGTGGAGACCACCAGCACCTTTTTTGATTCCAGCACCCAAACTGGTAAGCTTTTTTCTAAACTTAATCTTAATTAAAATCACACTTAAGCTTTAAATTAAAAATCTTTATAAACTTTAGCTAAATGCTTTTTTCTATAACAGTATAAACCCCCCCTTTAAAGTTTGTTAAAAGCTAATCTTTTTGAAATTAATGTCAACATCCCTTAGTTGAAGCAGCTCTTAGGTTAAATACCCACCTGTTAATCAATTGCAGGTATTGTTTAAGAAAAAACTTTTAGTTTTACTTTTCCTTAATGCCTGAAAGAACACACACGAGCTCATTTACTAGCACTCTCTCTCTCCCATACCAAGAGCAACACTTAATAATTTGTTGTAAACTTTAAATTGCTGGTATTATTAAGCATTATTTAGCCTGTCATCTTAATATTTTATAGTTTATTTAACAAACTCTATGGAAAGTAAATGAAAACTAGTTGAATGTGAAAATTTTGTAAACAAGAGGAGAAATTTATTCCCAAAGCTAATTGTAGCTTTTTTACAAACTATTTACTATTGCAACTCATTTTTTTGGAACTGGTGCCAAATCCTTTAAAAGACTTTATATATGTTTGAAAAATGAATGTATGTGTGTGTTTTAAAACTCCTTACAATAGTTTAAGTAATATTAGCTGCTGTAATTACCTTACTTAATGAACTTGCATTTTCTTTACTTTTAACCTTAGTAAAAGCAAAAAGTTTCTTAGGAAATACAAATATACTTTGTGTGTTTACTCATAATTATGATTAAATCTTCAAGCAATTAGTTTACCTAAGAAATAATAATGCAGATAAAATAGCTAAAACTTTAGCTTGAACTTAATGGAAACACCTTTTTAAATCAGGAAACAAAAAACAATATTCTGTTTTCCAGGAAATTAAATTTTTTAAGAATGGGAAAGAAATGGAATACTATACTGAACTATAGGCAAAACTATAGATTAGAGTGTAAAATATAGTATAGACTAGTCTATACTATGGACTAGGGTAGTCGACAGGCTAGACTATATATTAGAGTATAGTCCAGACTATAGGTTAGACTATAGAGTAGACCATAGACCAGACGCTATCGAGTAGACTAAAACTATAGACTAACCAACTAACTAACGACTACTAACTAACTAACTAACTAACTAACTAACTAACTAACTAACTAACTAACTAACTAACTAACTAACTAACTAACTAACTAACTAACTAACTAACTAACTAACTAACTAACTAACTAACTAACTAACTAACTAACTAACTAACTAACTAACTAACTAACTAACTAACTAACTAACTAACTAACTAACTAACTACTAACTAACTAACTAACTAACTAACTAACTAACTAACTAACTACTAACTAACTAACTAACTAACTAACTAACTACTAACTAACTAACTAACTAACTAACTAACTAACTAACTAACTAACTAACTAACTAACTAACTAACTAACTAACTAACTAACTAACTAACTAACTAACTAACTAACTAACTAACTAACTAACTAACTAACTAACTAACTAACTAACTAACTAACTAACTAACTAACTAACTAACTAACTAACTAACTAACTAACTAACTAACTAACTAACTAACTAACTACTAACTAACTAACTAACTAACTAACTAACTAACTAACTAACTAAACTAACTAACTAACTACTAACTAACTAACTAACTAACTACTAACTAACTAACTAACTAACTAACTAACTAACTAACTAACTAACTAACTAACTACTAACTAACTAACTAACTAACTAACTAACTAACTAACTAACTAACTAACTAACTAACTAACTAACTAACTAATAACTAACTAACTAACTAACTAACTACTACTAACTAACTAACTAACTAACTACTAACTAACTAACTAACTAACTAACTAACTAAACGAACTAACTAACTAACTACTAACTAACTAACTAACTAACTAACTAACTAACTAACTAACTAACTAACTAACTAACTAACTAACTAACTAACTAACTAACTAACTAACTAACTAACTAACTAACTAACTAACTAACTAACTAACTAACTAACTAACTAACTAACTAACTAACTACTAACTAACTAACTAACTACTAACTAACTAACTAACTAACTAACTAACTAACTAACTAACTAACTAACTAACTAACTACTAACTAACTAACTAACTAACTACTAACTAACTAACTAACTAACTAACTAACTAACTAACTAACTAACTAACTAACTAACTAACTACTAACTAACTAACTAACTAACTAACTAACTAACTACTACTAACTAACTAACTAACTAACTAACTAACTAACTAACTAACTAACTAACTAACTAACTAACTAACTAACTAACTAACTAACTAACTAACTAACTAACTAACTAACTAACTAACTAACTAACTAACTAACTAACTAACTAACTAACTAACTACTAACTAACTAACTACTACTAACTAACTAACTAACTAACTAACTAACTAACTAACTAACTAACTAACTAACTAACTAACTAACTAACTACTAACTAACTAACTAACTAACTAACTAACTAACTAACTAACTAACTAACTAACTAACTAACTAACTAACTAACTAACTAACTACCTAACTAACTAACTAATTAACTAATTACTAACTAACTAACTAACTAACTAACTAGCTAACTACTAACTAACTAACCTACTAACTAACTAACTAACTACTAACTAACTACTAACTACTAACTAACTACTAACTAACTAACTACTAACTAACTAACTAACTAACTAACTAACTAACTAACTAACTAACTAAACTAACTACTAACTAACTAACTAACTAACTAACTAACTAACTACTACTAACTAACTAACTAACTAACTAACTAACTAACTAACTAACTAACTAACTAACTAACTAACTAACTAACTAACTAACTACTAACTAACTAACTAACTAACTAACTAACTAACTAACTAACTACAACTAACTAACTAACTAACTAACTAACTAACTAACTAACTAACTAACTAACTAACTAACTAACTAACTATAGTCGAGTCTATAATCTAGTCTACAGTCTAGTCTATAGTCTAGTCTATAGTCTAGTCTATAGTCTAGTCTATAGTCTAGTCTAAAGTCTAGTCTATAGTCTAGTCTAAAGTCTAGTCTATAGTCTAGTCTATAGTCTAGTCTATAGTCTAGTCTATAGTCTAGTCCATAGTCTAGTCTATAGTCTAGTCTATAGTCTAGTCTATAGTCTAGTCTATAGTTTAGTCTATAGTCTAGTCTATAGTCTAGTCTATAGTCTAGTCTATAGTCTAGTCTATAGTCTAGTCTATAGTCTAGTCTATAGTCTAGTCTATAGTCTAGTCTATAGTCTAGTCTATAGTCTAGTCTATAGTCTAGTCTATAGTCTAGTCTATTGTCTAGTCTATAGTCTAGTCTATAGTCTAGTCTATAGTCTAGTCTATAGTCTAGTCTATAGTCTAGTCTATAGTCTAGTCTATAGTCTAGTCTATAGTCTAGTCTATAGTCTAGTCTATAGTCTAGTATATAGTCTAGTCTATAGTCTATTCTATAGTCTAGTCTATAGTCTAGTCTATAGTCTAGTCTATAGTCTAGTCTATTATCTAGTCTATAGTCTAGTCCATAATTTAGTCTATAGTCTAGTCCATTACCTTTTTTAAAAAATATTTTCTGGTCTAGCCTAAATTCTGGTGTTTAGTATATTCTTTAGTCTAGTGTATTGTTTATTCCATAGTCTAGCCTTTAGTTTAGTCTGTGATCTAAATTTTGAAGATTCTTTCCAATTTTGTTTGACACTTCCTAAGACACCCTGTTATTTAAAACCAGTTTCGCTTTTTCTTCCTTTAACTTTGTTGGCAACTTAATGCTTACTTTGACATTTGACCAAGATATTTGACACATTTCTTAACTTAATGTTTACTCTCTTTATGTGCGACTAACGCTCTTTTCTTTTGCTTCCTTTAAAGCAACACATGATACTACTGACACATTTCAAAGTAAATACACACTGATAACAAAAAGTACCAACAAAAAAAAAAGAAGAGGGAAAAAATAAATAGGTTAAGGAAAGCGAAATAGGAAAAATAGTACTAAAATTTACGTTACAAAAACAATGCGCGCGCATTAGGCGGACAAAGTCTTTTTTGAACAAAGAACAAAGGATAATAAAAATAACATAAAATATATAGTAACTATAATAGAAAGTTGTGAAAGAAAAGAACAAAGATAATTTGACATATAAACAAGAGCAGAAAACTCTCTGGGAGTAAGATGTGTTAGAGATACTAATTTGACAGTTGTTTTAGGGAGATATTGCTAAAGTTTAGTACAGAGCAAAAGGCAGCATAGTGACTTTTGCTGTAGGTTTAAAGGAATCAGTTGTTAAACAAAACGCGTACGTTAAACACTTAAAATTGAGGAGTTAAAAATAAGAAAAGAAAAAATTAAAAAAAAAAAATTAAAAGAAAATTTTTAAATTTACAAAAAATAATAAGAAATTATTGAAATATTAAAACAAACACACCTAAAATTATACTTTAGTTATTAAAATAAAATAGCGTGCCAAAAGTAGGCTTTAATTATTTTACTGTATAAAGTGTTGGTTTGTTAGCAGCCAAAACGTGTAGTGTGAGTGTAGGAGAAAGTATTTAAGTGTGTGTGTGTATGAGCAATTTGTAGCAAGTGATGTTAACAAGTGCTTGATATTTTTACTAAAACAAAAAAAAATTAACTAAATCCCAAGATACTGACAAAACAAAACTATTAAAACGAAACAAACAAAAAAAGTTAAAAAAAACCAAAGTAAACAAAATAATTATTTAATTATTATTAAAGAAAATCTAAAATACTTTTTGTTAACAAATAAAGCAAAAACCATAATTTTTGTTTAATATTTCCTTAAGAATTTAAGCAAAATTTCCCAAAATTACGAAACCATCAAAATTGCGGATTTTACAAAGCATGCGCCGTTTAAAATTAGTACGTATTACAAAAAATATCTTTAATAATTTT